TTTTGATAGACATAAATATTTTATATGCAGGCTTGCACCCCTTTGGTGCTAGCAAACATATGATATTCTTTTTCCTGAAACAAAGCATGACATAGATAATCATACCCTTAGTAAGCAACAAAAAAAGCAAGTGAAGGAAAACAAACATGTAGTAAGGGCAGTAATCATTTATGCAACAGGAAAAGAAGATGTGTAAACAAGTTAATCTAGTGCATTGTTAACAAACATAAAGGAAAGCAAGTAAAAGACAATAGGAATTCATTAGGAAGATGATGACATCAACATTAGGCAGAGACCAAGCAAAACGAGTTGAAGCTGCTTTGATCAGTGGAAGTGTGTGGCACATCTAGTTAAGCACTCACTGTAAGGGCCAGACCAGAAAATATAGTAATTCAGAGTCCTAACCTCAAGGACTGGTAAGTAAGGGAAGCCCCTGAGAGTAGATATTTTGTTTTTACTGGCAGCTAACACCTGGAAACAAATCAATAAATAAACTGGTAGTTCTTGGTAACTCAATAAACAAACTGACTAGATAAATATTAATCGATAAAACACTAAGCAACATAGAACCAAACAGAACTAATACCTGTAGTCGAGGTTGACTTGCCATTGAGAGAGACTTCAACTTATTTTGCGCAACAGAGAGAAACTGGAAAATGGGAAAAAATCGGAAGAAAAAGTTAAATTTCAGTGCCAGGAGGTATATCCATTGAGGTATAAAAAAGGCGCTGCAGGAAGCCTGACTGTGATGATAATAAAATGTGAATTGTAAACTTGATCAGCACTATGAACAAATTCCAAAGGCTCACCTCCAAATTAGGAAGCTGAGGTAGGCTTGCAAGTGATGTGATCTGGTTTCCAGCAAGGTATAGTTGCTACACCAGTGAAACAAATATTTTAGGATCATAATGATAGTAATTTTTTTACAGAAAAGAAAGTAAACATCAAAAGTTTTTTACTACAGATCTGAGAAATAAAGACATATGAAACACAAACCTGGAGAGCTTTGCAATTCTCAAGTGGCTCAAACCCAGGGCCTTTAAAATCATTGAAACTCAAATCAAGGACCTAGCAAGAAAAAGCTGTCTTTATCAACTTGAAAAGCTACGACAGAACAATAAACTGAAAAATTGTTCTTCTAATTATGTCGGGGAGACAGCACATATATATAAAGGCACCTATGAGTATGAGAAGGAAAACCAAGACTCTTCTGTAAATCATAAAGGATATTAACTTTAATAGAACCCACCAACACAAGTTATAACTTAATGAGAAGACAATAAGAAAATTGTTTTAGTCACATAACTACCAAAAATGATTGACATATGGCTGCTCGAACAGAATTTTATAATTTTAATATGTTATCTATTTTATTTAATGATATAATTAGTCATTTGGATAGGTGTGAAGTTAGTTTTTGGGGATGTAGGAAGACAAGTGTAAAGGTAGTTTCAATAATGTAGCACATAAGTGCAAAAGTAGTTTCTAGGAT